TGTGTGTGCGTGGCACCGGTGCAAGAGTTTCGAGTGGATGTAAGTGTGACTGGAAATTGGGTAACCAAGGTTCTGGAGCAGAATGGAGCCCCTTGGCTGCACTCTGAAAAACGGGGCTCCTTTAGGCCTTGAGCCTATGAGGAGAAAAACTGGTACTGTTTGTGACACCGTCTGACCGCAGTATTGGTGAGTCTGAGCATAGATGGTCAGAAAGTAGAAGTCGACTATGATATTATCCAGTTAAATATCAAAAGTGGGAAGAACTGTTGGATCTAGAGTTATTCTTAGCTTTGTTTCAAAACAAGCGTTTACAGAAGCAGTGTGGAGTGACGGTTGTATGACCTAAAGGGAAAGCGGGTTTTAAAGGTGTCCTTCGGGACGCTGAAGGCCCTTACCCCGACCCCAACCCTCTCCCATCTACTCCTCCCCCATACCTCCCGAGTCAAAAACAATTCACCTATGACTCCACCACCTAAGCCTAAAGGAATTTTGAATTCTGAATCCCCTAAAACTCCGGTGGAGTTATATCCCCCAGAAGTCACTCAGAAAATGGGTGCCCCTCAGGCAAGGGTCTCCCCAGCACACACTCAGAGCGGTGAAAAATTTGGCCAGGGGTCTAGGCCAGATCCATCAGGGCAATACCCATTACGGCAGGTTCCAGTCAGTTTAGATCATAAAGGAAATCGCGGAGGTTTCGTTTGGACTCATAGGCCATTCACCTGGCTGATCTACATTAATATGCTATTAACTGCCTTAGCCCTGAAGAGAGGCGAATGGTATTAGAGAAAGCTGGAGAGGAATACGGCAGACTTCCCAACCTCCAGCCTGAAGACCCAGTCGGGGACCACAGCCATCAGGCAGTGCCAGGGGCAGATGCAGAGAGGGCCCCTAATAGCCCAGACGCCGGGACATTGGAGCACATTGTCCTAGAACTCCAGAAGGGGGCCCCAAAGCAGATTCAGAAGTTGGGGAAGTACAACGAGGCCTCAAGGAAAATCCTGCTTTCCTCAAATGGGTGTATAAACAAGCTCATCAGTGTACCGACACCGACCCGGACGCCAAAATTAGAAGGGGGACTGGGTATGAATACCCCTCAACTTGTAGACTGCCTTTAAGGTCTACAGTAACCGGGACCAGGAGCCGGAGAATCAGGGGCAAGGAGACATGAAGCAACAAACTGCCTTGCTGGCTGCTGCCCTGGGAGACCTGCCACGAAGTCGATCCTACCGGGTAAGTCCCCATGGCCCCCAACGGGTAGAAAAGAAGTGAATCAAGCTCCTGCTCCAGGAGGACAACCAACAAAGTTGAGGCCTCAACAGTGTGCTTACTGCAGGAAGGATGGGCACTGGAAGAGCAAGTGCCCAGAACGAGCCCTCCAAAACCCGCCAAAGGGGGCCCAGCAGAGAGTAAGCACAGCTGACAGCAATCAAGAATGATGGGGCCCAGGGGCTCCGTTACAGACTGGGCAAATGCCTATCTCCTACAAGGAGCCTGGGTGGCAATAACTGGGAAAACAGCCCATTGAATCTCTGCTGGACACAGGAGCAACCTCAGTCCTAAACATCTCCAAGGCCCCTCTGTCCCAGAACACTGTGAGCATTGCTGGAGGTTCAGTAATGTAAAAATCTTCAACCTCTTGAATGCCAGGTTGGGAGCACTGTATGAACTTGAAAATTTCTATACATGCCCGAATGCCCTGTTCCTCTGTTGGAATAAGATTTAATAACCAAGTTAAATACTCAGGTTACTTCCTCAGCTAACAAGCTCCAGGTGGATATTAATCCCAACCAGGCATGGGCCTTACAGACAACCTCCTGCAATTACCTGCTGCTATGAACTACAGAAGCAACAGACAGGACAAAACTATCACTGCAGCCAGCACTTGTTATGGGAAAAGGCGTCCTGTATACTTGCCTGAGTAAAACTACTGCTGGACTGAATCTGTACAGAACCATCCAAAAGGTTACACAAGGCTGCTTGACCTATACCAGAAACAATCCAAAGTGCAGCCCACCTCCAGGGGTGAGAAGAATCAGACAAGAGGACTGAACCTATACAAGGACTGGCAGATAAAATTTATAACTCCAGTTTAGTTTGCTATCCCCAGTTTAGTTTGCTAGTCTCAGTTCAAAGTAATTATGAGGGAACATTTGACAGGACGAGCCTATTGACAGGAAAAAACTGACAAGATGAAGCGTTCTTTGAAGAGCACACTAGCTAAGATGAGCCAAGAGACCAACTTATCTTAGATAACTAACTCCTTGACCTGTTGCAGATCTGGACCACCCCCAGAAGCAGGCTTAAATTAAGCCCATATGAAGTATTATATGGGAGACCATTTTCTAGAGTGTGGCATCCTAGTTATGTAGGGAAGGGAGACCTTAAAATTGTTAAGGAATTGGATATTTTAAACATGTGCAAACTTTGTCTGCAACATTATTAACCAGTTTGCTTCCAGCAGGTTGTTGTATCCTTCATAGCTTCTGCCCCTGTGATTGGGTCCTACTAAAGGAGTGGAACGACCGGACTCCCCAGAGCCAACTCCAGGCCAAATGGACTGGACCTGATGAAGGATTGCTGACAACACATTGCTCAGCCAAACCGAAGGGAGTCCGCCCTTGGATTCATCACAGCCGATGGAGGATAACACCAAACTGCACTGAGAACTCTCCTCAACCTGTAACTGAGTTTTATTCTTCAGGGAACAGCCTTGGGGAACAGGGAGACTCCAGAGAACCTGGCAACGGAATAGTAAGTGTCCCCAACAACCTGGAGTGAAACACCTGTGAGCCCATCAAGGATCTTAAGATTTTCCTTAAAAGGAAACCTATTCTGGGTTAAGACATAAAGGTAATTCTAATCGACTCCATGATTGTCTTACCTCGAACACCTTCTAAAGGAGGGAAGTAGTCTAACACCCTTATAAAACGCCAACAAATCCTACCAGACCACACTCCTGGGGCTACTAATTACTGAATGTGCATACTCTCCTTGACACAAAGGGGTATGTATGTATGACAGGATTTAACCCCACCTTTGGGATAGACTTTTCTTGGCTCACCTCTTGGTTACCCAATGTAGGGTGGTTGAAATCCTTATTTATTACAATACTTCTCTTATTAACAATAACGCTCTTTACTTGCTATTGTATTCAATGTCTACCTAGGTACCTACCTGTCTTCAAGCCTCCAGAATTACAAGCTACTCTACAGGTACCCCTAGTCTCTTCTCCCCGGATATGGCCAGAAGATTCCGTGA